ATTGGGAAAGGCGTACGGCAGGGCTGTATACTCTCACCCAACCTATTCAACTGGTATGCAGAACACATCATGCAATTTGTGGGGCTTGATGAATGCAAGGCTGGAGTTAAAATTGCTGGAAGAAACATTAACAACCTTAGATATGCAGATGATACCACTTTGATGGCCAAAAGCGAGGAGGAGCCGAGGAGTCTTCTAAACAAGGTGAAAGAAGAAAGTGCAAAATCTGGGTTGCAGTTAAACATAAAAAACAAGATTATGGCAACCAGAATGATTGACAACTGGGAAATAGAGGGAGAAAACGTGGAGGGCGTGACAGACTTTGTATTTCTAGGTGCAAAGATTACTGCAGATGCAGACTGTGGCCAGGAAATCAGAAGACGCTTACTTCTTGGGAGGAGAGCAATGTCCAATCTCGATAAAATAGTGAAAGAGTAGAGACATCACACTGGCAACGAAGATCCGCATAGTTAAAGCAATGGTATTCCCTATAGTAACCTACGGATGTGAGAGCTGGACCATAGGGAAGGCTGAGTGAAGGAAGATAGATGCTTTTGAACTGTGGTGTTGGAGGAAAGTTCTGAGAATGCCTTGGACCGTGGGAAGATCCAACCAGTCCATACTTCAGGAAATAAAGCCCGACTGCTATTTGGAGGGAAGGATATTAGAGGCAAAGATTTTGGCCACATAATGAGAAGACAGGAAAGCTTAGAGAAGACAATTATGTTGGGGAAAATGAAAGGAAAAAGGAAGAGGGGCCGACCAAGGGCAAGATGGATGGATGGTATCCTTGAAATGACTGGCTTGACCTTGAAGGAGCTTGAAGGTGGTCAGTTGAAACATTCACACCTAGCTCCAGCAGAGAAGAGCTCTTTGCCCCACCCCAGCCATTCCACAGATATATAAACCCATTGTCCTAATTCCAACAGACCTCACTACCTCTGAGGAAGCTTACCATAGATGCAGGCGAAACGTCAGGAGAAATGCCTCTAGAACATGGCCCTATAGCCAGAAAAAAACCCACAAGAACCTAACTATGGTGAAATTCAAGGAAGAAAGTGTAAATGTTGGATTACAGTTAAACAGTTCCACATTACAGTCTTTTTCCTTGAATCATGTTGTCCCAAGGTATTGCAGATGTCTGCTAGTTTTGGTTTTGTCAAATAGTTTTTCAAAGGGAGAAATCACAATTGATTTCTTCTTGATCCCATTTATCTGTCTTTTTGGCAGTCTGTGATATCTGTAATATCTGTGATCAATTTCCTTCTGGACATGGATGTAGAATCTTTCAGTTTCTTCTTCTTCCTCTGTAGCCGGAGTGTAAATGGGGGGGGGGGGGGGGGGGGGGGGGGGAGAGACTTGATGTACTTGGCCACAAATTTTATTCTTCACCTTCACAGTGAAGGTGGCCAATCTACAGGGTTATATGTCTGTGTACTACATGTTTTTGTGGGGTAAAATTATGGCTTTTCTCCTCAAGCTACCTGAAGATCAAAGAAACGTGGCATTATCCTATCAAGAGGCACAAGCTTTGGTGCCTCCTATCAATTCAGTACATCATAGAGTGGGACTGTGCATATGAAGCAATGGTTCCCAACCTTTGGTCCTCCAGTTGTTTTGGACTTCAACTCCCAGAAATCCCATTAAGCTTACCAGCTGTTAGGAATTGGGGAACTGAAGTCCAAAGCACCTGGAGGACCAAAGGTTGGGAACCACTGATATAAAGTCATCACTGGTGCAGTAGCCCTTTGGCTCTGGATGACAACTCAACCAATTGCAATGGCTTCCAGTCCACATCCTTTTCTATCTTGGGCTCTCAGATTGCACCATCAGTATTTCACTTGGTGGAGCATCAACACAGATTCCTGGATGCTTGCCATCATTTGTTTGGGTTGCGTCATAGGGTTTTCAAGCATTCCACTCATTGGAGTGTTTTAACACACACACCCCTTCCCAATAGCCATATTGGAAGACCTCATGGCTTTACTTGGGAAAGATGCAGTGGGCAAGGTTCCCGATAGTTGCAGAAGAGGTAGTTTCTTCTCAGGTATTTCACAGTTCCTGAAAGGGACTGGGGTCTTCAACTGATTTTGGCCCTTCACAGGTTAATCGTATCAAACCCAAGACATTCAAGATGGTAATGCTACACTTAGTCTCGCCATTCCTTTGCTTGGGGAAATCTAAGATTGATGGGAATTGCAGCCGGCCAGAACCCAAAACAAGAGGGCAGTAGAGCCACTGGAGGATTGGCTAGTAATAAGCAAATAATAATAATAATAATAATAATAATAATAATAATAATAATAATAGCAACTCCATGGGCCATCCAGTCCAATCCCCTCCTGGCATGCAAGAAAAACACCATCAAAGCACCCTCAACAGATGTCCATCCAGATTTTGTAGTAATAGTAGTAGTAATAATAATAATAATATTACAAGGCATTGCCTTTAGGGCTGTCACCTGCTTAAAATGCATATCTATGGTATTCACCACATGCATGACTGTGCTCAGGACTTGAGTGGTAAAGGTCTACCTATTCCTGGTGGTGTCATCCTCTTGGACAAGATTTCTGGGATATCTGCTTGACAGTGTGTCCTCATGAATTGCGACTGAATGTGAACTCAAAAAAGTCTATTTTGAAACTGAAAAAAC